TGATCTTAAAGGTCTTTTCCAAGCTAAACAATTCTATGATTGTGTAGTTGACAATGGTAGTGGCTGTGCATGGTCCTGCTGGACAAGCTATGGCTCTAAAAAGGACTTGGTTCTTGCTTCTGAAAATATTCTGTAGTTATTAAAGGTCTGTTGCCTTTTTCTTAATGTTTACTATAAACTACCTCTTGAACTAGAATCTTGCTATACAAAGATCATTTTTATACTTTCAGGTCCGTTGGGCCACGGCTTGTGTTGAGAATGACATTAGGAGCAGAAATTACTAGCCAGCTCAAGGCTTCTTCATACATAGCATCAGGCCGAAACCTTTTGAGATGGGACCTGTCACCAGAGCAAATTAGAACAAGAACAGAAGAACTGATCAGGAAGACAAAGTATGTATATGACAGTGTCGGGATGCTTGATATTGGAGAAGTAACACATGAAAATACTGTACGGGCCTTGGCAGATATAGAAGTGGAATATGCAGGTTAGTGTATGTTTTCTGTGATTCTTTCCATAAAGCATTCCATCTGCACATAAAGAATCATTGTGAAAAGATATTAGTTGCTTGCAATTCTGATCCATGCTGTTGTAGTGTAGAATATGTAAAGGCCTCTCAAGGGTCCTCTGGTCATTAGAATCTTTCAGGACCTCTCAGCAATATGTGACATGATCAGCCACAAAGTTCGGCTGCTTTATTCTAGAGACAAAAATAAGGATTAGCAAAGCTGTTGATCTCCGATTCATCCAGAGAACTGTATTGGTCACCTGTTTTCTTTTTGCATGTGAAGCTCCATAGAGTCACATTTTCTTTTCCAACTGTGTACAACCACTAGGGGACAATGTGGAACAGTGTAGGCTACAGCGTCTGTGGTATGCCTAGTACATTTAAACCTGATAAGCAGTACTTTTTTCAGATGCTGCAGAATCTGTGACAAGCAAGTCAAATGAAACAATGGAAAGGTTGTAAGCTCCTAGTGGAGAAAATGTGGTGGTTGAGAATGGGGAATTTTTGAATGCTTTTTTGAAAGAAGACTGCTTTACCTTTATATTATGGCCTGCAAGGCCTTGAAGAATCCAGGGAGAGGTGTTGGTCATGCAGTCACATCTAGATTGTTCTGAATGAATTATCAAGACATGCCAATACATGAGTTTAATGGCCAAACACAGGTCATTCAGTTAATTTGTTAATAATTGTCAGTCAGAGGAGATGGGAAGAATAAATATGTGCGTCGGGTAGCTTTGTTTTGAAAAACCTATCAGATGGTGGCTGCATGACTCTCAAAAAGTAGTCAGTGTAATAAAATACCAGGTTCTCTTAAATCCTCTAAAAAGAATCTGCAATAGCAACAGAAGTGCTGAAAACAGCCACCTTGGCTTGGACCAAAATCTTTACCTAGCAAAAAAAAAAAAGAGCAGCCTGCAGCTCAAATGATTGTACTGTAGTATTAGTCTGGCTTTCACATTACTTAGAATTACAGTTTAGGCATATCCAGTGAATTGACTGGAATTGATGCTGGCAGAAAGACTGAATAATCTTCATCTGAACAGCTTCCTGTCAGATTCAGTTTTAATTGTACCAATGTATTTCATAAACACTGTAAGCCTTTTCATCAAGGTATAAAATTCTCTGCTTTAAATTAAATTAGAAGGAAAATCTATGTTTAATTCAGAAAATAGTGGCCACCAACTTCTCAGCATAACCAGCAAGACTTGCATCTTCCAAGATATACTTTTTTTCTCTACATACTGTTGCTGTAGGGGGTCATATTTAAGCTTTTAATGCTAATCTTCAAAGCTGTATGTGAAATTAGCATGACTTACCTTTGAAACAGCCCATGGCATATGATAAGGATGTATTACCACAGCAAGACTTCCATTAGAACCTTGGATATTTAAGGCCTGTGTGTCCCTTTCACATGTACATGAAAGACCTACCTCAGTAACTAGAACTTGCTATCTGAAAAGACACAGATGACAACAGGCGTTACACTTCACTTGGAAACTGCCAAAACTCACTTCATCATTTTGAAACATCTTGGCATGAGGTCAGGAGGGGGGGAAAAAAGTTTTCTATGGACCTGAAGAAGAACCACGTGCCCATGTTTGCATTGCAAAGGTTTCTGAAAGGCTGACAGTATCTCAGGGTTTGATAAAACAACTTCAGATTACATAAAATTACAAAGCTTTAAATCACCCTAAAATGTTATTACTCGAAAATGTGCTTTTGGGGAGGTGGAGCAGAGTGAAATTATAATTGGTTTTGAATTAAGGTAATTCAGCTGGTCTAAGGATTCATTTCTATTTTAGCATTTCTATTCAATGTCATTATGAGATGCAATATTCTTTAAATGATCAAGGATTTACTTAATCTCAAAAGTGTATTCTAAAAAAGTAGTATAACTCAGCTTCTGATCTCTAGAAGTTCAGAATACATAGATAGCATCTTCTGTGTTTGCCTTATTGTTTCTCCTTAAACACAGAAGAGAAGATGGGGATTTGACACTGTTCTCATAACAATGTAAAATTAACTTCAGGACAGATGGGCCTGTTTGAAAGACCAAGAGCTTTTCATTTTAAATGCTAACATGGAAGCATTTGTGCCAGCTATGAAATAATGTCAGTCTTAACTTACAAATGGCTTGTCTTTCAAATTTCATGTATCATATTTATACAACTTTCAGCTGATTTTGTGGAAGTAAGAAGATGACATAATTAGGCTTGGGTAATAGATAGTTTCTGTAAAATGTTTATTTGTTATAATGGTGTGTGGTTTTGTCCTTTCACCTATTCATTTTTACATTATCACTGTATTTGCTTCAAGCCTGATCTGAAATGTCAGGTTGCTTTGGTACTTGTTTCTTATGTCTTCTATAAATATCAGAAGGGTGGGGGGGGGAGTTCCATATCCTTAAAGTGTTTCTAGCCTTCTGTGTTAAGTGTTCATTGCCTTTTATTTAAACAGTGGAAAGAAGCATGTTGGATTTTCCCCAGCATGTCTCACCTGACAAAGAGGTACGCTTAGCAAGTACAGAAGCTGACAAAAAGCTTTCTAATTTTGATGTGGAGATGAGCATGAGAGAAGATGTGTTTCAGAAGATTGTTTATTTGCAGGTAAATCACAATGATATCTGCATAACTTGTGGAAACATAGGTAAAATTACAGCAGTGAAAAACCTTTCTCTAAAGAAGTTAGTATCTACAGCACTTTTCAAGATCCCCATGACTGTGTGTGTTTCGCCTGTGTCTGTACCAGTCAAATCTTTCCAGTGTGACACAGCTATACAAAAAGGCTGTGGTTCCATAAACACGTAAGCCAGTGTAACTTGGTGCTCCCACTCGTTACCTCTCATGTCTAGGTGTGTGTATCGTTCTCTCTCCATTGCAATAGCTTTGACTTTTGTCTAAACTTCCAATGAGCTGGTACAAGGAAGCTAAACTGGCAGAAGGAAACCCATCAGGAAAAACAGAATTTATTATTTTATGTTGGCTGAGCTGCCGGAACTGGTTTCCCCAGAGCATCACCAAGTGAGGAGGAAGAAAAAAGGCAATATAGCAATGTATTTAGGTTGGCTTATACTGCTTTTGAATTTGTGTCTAAAATTGTTTTTTATAGAAGTTGCTAAAAATTTTAAATTTTAAAGTTGAGTTTTAAGTTATGAAAGTAGTGAGAACATGTAACTGGGAGTGACTTCTGAAATTACCTCTTTGATCTGCTAATTATAGATAGCTACATTGTATGATCCTCCTCCTATGTTGCTTAAGCCTCAAAATAAAACTAAGTCAAAAGATACATTTACTGTTGAACTAGTTTCTATCCCTTTTGTATTTCTGTTTAGCTTCCCTTCTAATTGAGCACCTACAGGTGTCTTGTGTTCTTCATTTTTACTGTTTATTTTGTAGCTCAAACAGGAAGAACATTTGTTTTTGTTCAAATGCATCTAGTGGCATTTAGTAATAATTTTCCAAAAGTGCAATTTAAAGGTAATGCAAGCAAGCTATCTAATATGAAAACTAAAATATATACACTGGTCAATGCTTCAGATGTGAATCTTCCCTTTCAACCCCACTGATTTTTAAGCTTCGTGTGGTGCTGATAGTATATTGGAGCCCTGTGTCTTGGAGTAATTGTTTGTGCTTTTTGCAGCATTGACTGGGAACCAGAATAATATTTGCAGCACTTTATTAAAGTGCCTTCCAGTACCATTGTCTTCTGTTGCTGTGTTTTCTAGGCACATTTTCGAGTGTTCTCCTCTAGCTGGGTATTGTTGTTTATATGTTTGTGGAGGTATTTAATAGCCCATTTTGAGGACCTTCTGTTGTGTGTTGGCAGATAGTGCCTTATGTTGATTTTTTTTTTCTCCTCTGACTTATGTTGATTTTTTTTTTTCCCCCTGCTCTGTTGCTATTAATTAAATGGTTTGATACATATTTATGATTTGCTGTGATTTTTCCCCACCCTCCAGTATACTATACACAGATACATTTAGGGCTAATCTGCCATATCTGTGTATCTGTCTGTTTTTAATTTACAGGAATTTCTGATAGTATCTAGTGCAAAACTGATTGCTGTTATTCGCTAGTATTACTTTCTTTTAAACTTTTTTTTTTTTTAATCTTTTGGTGCTTTCCTACTGCATTTTCCTTTGCAGCTGTACTTGGCTTTTATAAGTTACAATTGTTGCTTCAATTTCCATTTATGTTTGTTAGAGATTTTTCTTGGCTTCACTGCAGCATGCAAGCATGTTTTAATACCAGTTTTTCAGAGATGCAACCTCTGAGCATATATCAACTTCATAATAACTATGAAAATAGTAGCAGTTTTTACTGTAGAACAGATGTGAAATTGCCAATAGTGCCAGACTGATCAAGTCTTGCTATTTCCGAATCATAAAGTTCTTGTTAATTTTTACTAAATTTCTAATGCTTTTTCCTGTGAGAAACTCGTAGTTGAAAAGTCAGGTTCCAGGAGCACGTTAAAAAAAGGACTTCTACAAACAGAAATGCTTTGCTGAAATCATTTTATCAGTTTAAATGAGCCAGTAAAACATTTTGATTAAATCAGGTTTTTCATGGCCTCACTGAGGATTTAATAGTTCAGGTATATGAATTCTGTTTCATGATCCTGCACAGGGGTCAGGTTAAAATGCAGTGAGGAGAATGAGAGCCCTCACACTCCTACGTTATTTATAATACAGTCAGTCCACTAAAAGATGTAATTCTGCTTGATCTCAGTGACTTCCTGAATGTTTTTGCTCCCTTTAACGAGGACTAAACTTTTCCAAGTTAACAACTGTTTAGTATTCTTTAAGTTCTGCTTTATTTGAGAACTGTTGATGGTGGAAGATGTGTGAGGTTTTTGTATTTAATTAAAAAAAAAACCCAACTGAAAATAATCTAGTCTTTCCCCACACATTAGGGGAAATTCCTGTATAAATTTATGTTGTTGAATATGCTCTAGATCTTATTCTTTAGAAACTTTTATTTTAGGGTCCAAAACTTGGGATAAAGGTGAATTTGGTAGTGAAACTATAATTTTAAATTTTATTGCTCCTAACATCTGCACGTTGGCTAGCAGAGGCATGCTTAAGAATGTTGCCAATCTTCTCCACCCACATGCCCTCAGGAAACTCAGCCTGATGTAAACAGCTGCTGCAGGTTTTGTTCATGATATTCTAAGTAGGTTTTGTTTCTTATTCTGCCTGAAGATTTCTTCATGGAATAAGGTAGCGTGGTTGTCCAAAACAAGTATGAAATGGTATATAAGATCATCAACAATGACCATTCTAAAAGGTCTGGAAACTTCCAAAATTTCAGGTGTGTAGTGTATTTGAAATTAGCACCTCTGTTGTGGAAATTGTTCATCAAAGAAACACAGGATGACATAGACCATCCTGACCAGACTGAAGTTCAGAGATGACCACAGAGCACCCTTGGTTCCTGTGCCTGTGAGGGTTTATATGCTTGCTTATCCTTAAAGAACTGACAGGTCTTTTTGAATGTGTATCATCCTTATCTTAAGCACGTCTATGATGCAGATAAACTTCACAAAGGCTAATATTAAGACTGGAAGCTATTTAACATTGATTTCTTTTGAAGTATATGGAGAGATGTATAGTCATCAAGAGAAGAATGAGGAACACTAACTTACTTTTCTCCTCCTTTTTCCCAAAAGAGTATTTCTTAGCTTTAGAAGGAGCCACTATTCACTGTCTTTAAGGGCTTAAAATTAGTGTTAGTGAATTCACTTCTTGTGCCTAAAATCTTTGCTGGGTTTGGACCCAGGAGATTTTCAGGAACATGACAGTTCCATATGCCCAATGGGGGGGCAGGGAGATCCCTCACAATGCCTAAATAACTCAGTGAGACCTTTCACAATCCTCTGTCCTTAACTGTTATAAAAGCAGTGTCTTTTTATAGAGATAAGAGTACTCCATTTTTTTTTTTCAGCCTTTCTATTTTTGAGCCTTGCAGCACAGTTAGCACAATACAAATGTTAATGTAGTAGCATCTGCATTTTTCAGCCCTATCGTTTTGAAGATGTGCTTTTTCTGTCACACTAGTCTCAGGTCAGAAAAAAGAACTGTTAAATTGTGGCTTGTCCAGCGGAAAAACAATATGTGAAAATTCTGTTTGTTACAAATATTTTTGTACTCAATATCACAGCACTGATGCTCCTAAATGTAGTGCTTGGTAGCATAAAGATCTTCATGAAGCTGCAGAATTTCAGGGAGTATTCTCTGCCAGAAGCAGAGCAGGAAGCCTGAGTGTTGCAGGGAGTAGGGTAGGTAATAGCATGCTTTTTATCTTCATGTTGGGAAATACTCTGTGTGGCTTGCCTTATGCATTAATCACAAATAAGGATCAAGATGTGAGATTTGACTTGGAGAGGACATAGGGCATGATTTTCTTCACTTACTTTCCTCCCAAAAGGAGATTTCCACCATTTACATCCTTTTTTTTTAAAAGTGACAGCCAACTTCTGCAAAAAAATCATAGGCATAAGGGTACACTATGCAATCACATAGCTTAATCATCATTGACTTTATCTTTGTGGTGACCTATAGTAGTTAGATCATCCTTTCATGAGTCTATGGATTCTTTTAAAAATTATCTGTAAACAGATAACATTAAAAAGAAAAAATATTCATCATTAATCATATGACAGTATCCGTAAACTAACTTAAATCTGCGTATTGCTTAGAAAAGTTAGTTTATCACAAAGTGAAGTGATTGTTGTGATTTTTTTCACTGGACTTAGAAATTCTTTCATATAGACTATTGGTATATGCATAAGAGTTTTAGGCACAATTGTATAGAATCATAGAATCGTCCAGGTTGGAAAAGACCTTTAAGGTCATCCAGTCCAACCATTAACCGACACTACCAAGCCCACCTAATTAATGCTTAGCAGTCCTGCTGTAGCATTATGCTACTGGGACTTGAGACTTTGCAGAGTAAAAACAAAGCTAAACCATTCTAAGCTCTCTCATGGTTCTAAAACCCAATTTTCACTGATTTTTTTAATCCTTTACGCAGGGCGCTCATGGGAGTAGACATTGTTTATGTGGTGTTGTGTGGATTATTTTTAAATGACAGCTGGGAAAATATCTGTTTCAGAGTTTTTATTTCTATTTCTTTTCTCTTGGAATACAACTAGGGTAATTTGTGCTGGCAGCTCATTAGTTGACAGCTGTATGCAGTTGTGTAACACTTTCATAAAATTTGCATGTTTCAACGTCCTTACTTTTCAGAGGTGCTAGTCAAGAATTAATTGTATGTAGGTAAGCTGATGAGAGGGTTGTTAAGACAAGTCAGAGCTAATTCCAACTGCTTCATATTTGAGGGTGACCTTATATAGAGTATGTCCTTTTTAACAAGGACTGTAAGTTAATCCCTTTTTTAAATGTTCACTTTAAATGAGGGAAGATAAAATTAGAATGTGTACAGCATTATTTTCAATTTAGGACAAAATGGCAAGTTTCTGAATTATGATGTAGTCAGTTTGAAGGAAGACCCTCAGAGAACTGACCCATGTTCTCTTACAACCAGTGTCTTATTTCCTAATTGTGGTTGCTTTAGGAAGCAACCATTCAAGAATCTTCATAATGGTATAACCAGACATAGAAATACTGTTTTATTTGTTGTCACTGATTGATTTGTTCTGAAAAAGAAGATGCGTATGCTCAAATTTTATGCCATCTGATAACCTTCAGTGACACATCTAATCTCTTGGGTTGTTTTTTTTTTTTTTAATGCTTCTAAGTTTTAAGGTACAGAGTTACCTTATAGCACTGATTTTCTTCAAGTATGTATAAGAAAGCTATTGCTACAGAAAAAGCTTAAGTGCACTGTACTATAAACTAAAAGAGCTTACCATTATGAAGCATGATGAGATACTTGGTAAAAGAAAATTATTTGAAAACCATGCTACATCAATGTAAGAATAATACTGTGTAAGGTAACTGGTTTTGGAAAGTACTTCACACTAAAATCCAGGATGTTCCTTTTTTACTGTGGTGCTGTTCTAAAGAACAGCTCTGTTCAGACCCTTCTAATGTTTGGTATGTTTCTTAGACCATATTGTAAATTCAATTATTTTATACTGTCATTTCAGCAAACCTGCGATCTTGAAAATGTAAAGCCTGAAACAAAGCGATATCTAGAGAAATCAGTTCAAGTGGGAAAAAGAAACGGACTCCATCTTCCTAAAGAAGTGCAGAATGTAAATATGGACTATTAGTTTATAAAGCAAAGGTGACAAACTGTTGAAGGGATGAAATTATGATTGTATAGCTGTACTAAGCATACATTTCGACTTTGTGCTTTTGGACCTGCTTAATTACTGCTCTAATCTTAACTGTTCTTAGTTCCAGATCCATCCTTCAGATGTCAATGACCTTAAGGTTTTTAAATTAATCTGTTAGACATCCATAGTACTCAGTGGATAGAGGTGGTATGCATCACCTCTCTTAAACTTCCAGAGTAAAAGAAGCCTATCTGGAATAATTTTGTTATGTATTCTGATTACAGAGAATGCCTAAATTAGATAGATTCCTAGCCAAGAGACTTCTCAAAAATGTTATTTGTGAGTCCAACCTTCAGAAGTATGTATAATTGTTGCAAAGACATTTTAAAATATGTCCAAGATTTTAGCATTTTGAGTAAAAAAACTTGAGGTAGCTTAAAGGGAGCACAAGCTGTGCTGAGAATTTTGGCTCCATTAAGGGAGGATTTGCTCAAGCATATAAAAGCACTTGTCACTTCTGAAAATCATGAAGTAAAATTGCCAGCATCTGAGATGTTGACATAATTGTCTTTAAATTCTGAGTAATGTTGTATAACTATCTCGCTTTTTGACTTTTGAATAGGCTTTACCCTTTGTAGAAAATAATCATTCTTCATTGACATCCTTCAGTTAGTGGGAACAGTTTCATGTGTATTTGCATTGCTTAAGGGCAACTGATGCCTCTAAAGAATTTTGAAATACTTTATAAGGAGACAATAGTTGAATTACATTTAAGTACAAACTTGACTAATGATAGTTTCTGCCAAGTTTTGTGTTTCATGTGTACTCTTCTACTGATAACTACCGTGTTTATGTGAACTTGAGAGTAAGGGATAGAGACGTGCTATGAGCTATATTAGAAAATGTTTCAGGTTGGTGAATATCAGGATTTTAAAAAAGGTTTTTGAATAGTCTTGTCTTGTGTGGGTATTCTCTTCTTTTTGTCATACCCGTACAGTTCCAAAGAAGTGTTTTTCAATAGGATGCATGCATTTTTACTCCCTTGATTCTCATTGATTTTAGTGGATATTTTTACACTTAAAATTGTAATTTAGGCTTTTCAAATAAAAGAAAATAATTGAATGTTAGCACATAATGCTGTTCAGAGAACATGTTTATGTGTTCAGTCCCCTCTGAGTTGAGAACACATTTGAAATGTTGTCAGAGCAATAGCCCCCACCCAGGGTTCATTGGCAACAATAGTGCTCAGGACCAGAAAAAAGATAAAAGGGAGGTTGAGAGGGGGTTAAGTATGACGCTACCTGCAGTGCGTTACTTGCTCAATGCTGGTATTCACTGTCGGCTAGTAGAGAGCCTAGCTGGAAAAAGTGAAAAACTATTCATGTGGAGGATAGTAATACCCAAGTTTGATTTTTCTTTTTCCACTAAGTTCAGTTTATACCCGATACAGGAAATAAAGACGATGAAGAAAAAATTGAGTGAGCTGTGTATAGACTTCAACAAAAACCTGAATGAGGAAAACACATTTCTTGTATTTTCTAAGGAAGAACTTGGTGAGTAGTATGCTTGCTCTTTCCATTTCTTCAACCCGCCAGTTTTACTGGAGTAATGGGTTTTGCCCAGTGAATGATGGTTAGATTAGTGAAATTCTGACTGTTTTCCAGTCTTCTCTGTTTCCTTTTTAATCCTTCCCCAAAGTCAGTTTAGAATTACCCTTTGCAGGTGTTTATGATCTTTTCATAGATTTGTGCTTCCTGAAGTGTTTGCCTTGCATCAAGTTAGCATATCTCTCCTACTTTTTTTTTTATAACTTTTCTCTACTTCTTTTTGCAGTTCTCCACCATAAGGTAATCCCCTGCGTATTACATTCATTGTGATTATTAGAAAAACTTTTCTGTCCTGCAATATATTTTAGCTACTTCAATCATTTAAACTGATTTAGAGATTTCATGTGACAGAGAATTTGGGGATTCATTCTCTGAAGGGCATGGTGTAAAATGTGCTTTAATAACACCAGAGATTTTTTTTTCATGTCATATTCAGTTTTTATCTGGTAGCCTTACATATTTCTCTTTTGCTCACAAGCATTTCCAATTTTTATTTTGCTTGGTTGTGATTTGAAAAAGTTTTAGCAAATAGTTGTAAAAAGAGGGGTTATATTTCCATGGAGATTTCTGATGTCAGCTTAGATTGCAGCAAAATAAATGCAACAATCTCAGAAAAAGAGAGGGGAGTAGGTAATTCTGGTAAACATTGTTTATTAAATTCTGTTCCATAGAAGGCCTTCCTGATGACTTTATTAAGAATTTAGAGAAGACTGAGGGAGACAAATATAAAATTACTTTAAAGTATCCCCACTATTTTCCTGTCATGAAGAAGTGCTGCATTTCAGAAACCAGGAGAAAAATGGAATCTGCCTTTAACTCAAGATGCAAAGAGGTATGTCGTATATTGACTGTTCTACAGTGTAATGACAGACTTGAAAAATGGAGCTAGACATTCAAATGTTAGATTTGAGTTCTGTATGTTGTCTAGTACTATGGAAGCAAAACTTACCAGTGTGATCTTTAACAGTTCCTTGCTCCAGTTTACTCTGATGTCTAAAGACCTTAGAAGTTTACGATCACCCTCTGTGTGTGTATGTATCTTAAAGTTTCAGTGGTGCTCTAAATAGAAGGAGGATTTTGACCTTTTGCCAAAATTCTCCCCAGTGTTCTGCAGCTGCTTACTGGCACTTTCCTCCCAGAGAAGGACGTCTGGTTGTAGCTTCTGTAGTACTTTGGGATTCTTCAGAATGAGAGGGGTTATTTAAGCCACGTTTTAATTATGAAATACAGGTGATTAAATGTGAAATTAACACATTGCATATTGATGAGAATTTTAATTCGATGCTAAAAAAACCCCTTATTTTTATAAAAGATTCATTCAATTATCTGAAAAATAGCTGGAAACATGCCTTATAAAAAGAATAAATAATTTCACAAAGAATTGGTTTCATACCGACGAGACCAGGCACCTAGACAGGTACAAAAATAATGAAAAGGATAGAAAGGATAGAAGAAGTGTCATTCAGGCAGTTGTACCAACCGTTCATTAGAGAACAATGGCAGGGTTGAGCTTTTGTACTTGAAGTGCTGGGAAACATGAAGAGTACAAGAGAAGATGAAATGGCACCAGGAACTGAACACTCTGCAAGTCAGCACACGTAAAGAGATTTGCTGTTAAAACTGTGGGACAATCTTCAAACCTAGTGCTTGAAAAAAAAGGTTTTTCCCTGAGAAATCTCACTTTGCAGAACTGGAGGTTAATAGTTACATTTTCAGCTTCTCAAGGATCCTCCACTGCATTTAGGTCAGGGCCTGGGTTTTTGGTGTTTCAGATCTCTTTCTCTGACTGCTATTGTCACAGTGGCAAAAGAGGGAAATTTTCAAACAACCTTTGAACATTGGCACAATAGCTTTGCAGTCTGTCTTTGCCACTGACAAGCAATTAAGCCTGCTGTCAGCCATTTCCCTCTTATTTTTCACATTTAAATGATTGATAGAGGAAATAAACTCTTTGAAACAGTCAAAGATTTGTTATTATCCTAAAAGGAAATGGTATATGTTTTGATTAATTAAAACAGATAAATTATAATAGGGAGAGTAATGACTCAGATTGACTGTAAAACTAGCTACCTGCAATCAAATGCTCTGACAAAAAAAATTACAAGAATCCAGCTAAACTTACATTATTCTATATCTATATCTTAAAGCGTTTAATTTTAAATCTTTGCTGTTTCTTATGATTACAGATATTATTCAGATAATTGTTTTGGTAACATGCATTTTCTGGTTTCACTTTACAAATTTGCCTCCTTTCTTTTTTAGGAGAACACAAAAATTCTTCAGCAATTGCTCCCACTAAGGGCAAAAGTGGCAGAGCTTCTCGGTTATAATGCACATGCCAACTTTGTCCTGGAGGTAAACACTGCAAAGAGCACAGATAACGTAACAGCCTTCTTAGGTTTGTTCTTATTTATAAACAATAATTTTATATTTGGTGTGGCAACATGGCTCCTCAGCCAAGATACATTTAAGTACATAATTGGGTCACATTGTCCATCATGTTTAGATAGAAAAGGAACTCTCTGTTGCCTCTGTTCTGGCATATATTTTTTTTAGACCATAGCTGTACAAATGCAATTGCTCCAAAACAGGGAAGCACAAGACAAAAATCAGAAAATAACTGCTTTGTGACAGCCAGTATAGGCAAGTGGTTATGTGTTTCTCTGCCCCAAAATGCATTTATCCTAATTTAGAACTAGAATAACATGTGCAGCCTAAGCAATTTTATCAGTTCAAGAGGCTGTGTCACAGTTGCAGCTTTTCATTCCCTTAGGTAAGCTCAAATTTTTTGTGCATCTGTAGCCTTAGTGTCTTTTTCTGATGCAACTGCAGTAATTATAATGAAAGATTACAGTATGTGATGATGCAACTTCCATGAACTGAATTAAAAAATTAAATCTGGAATGATAGATTAAATTTGGAATTCAAAAGCCCTCTAATGGAATTTGATCTGAAAACAGAGATATCTTGAAAATTTTAAACTGAGCAGTTTACAAATTTATAGTCATCCTCTTGACCTTAGTGGGCCCTCTCTTGTGCATAGAGTTACCCTCTACTTTCTGGAATTACGTAGTTCCATAGAATAGTATGTGTTCCTTCATTAATGTGTCCTAACACCACTTAAGATTGTATATTGATATATTGCATAATAAACCCCCCAAATTAATTTAGTACAGCAATAAAGTCTGTTTGGTGGTGGATTTTTTGTGTTTTTACATCAATAAAGAGGTTCAAATGCACCTCTTCCTTCACCTGTAATTCTGTCGCAATTCTCCTGTTATGGTGTGAGCCCAGCTCCATATTCGGCAATACCAATTATCCGTATATTTTTTTCAATGAACTTAACACTTAATTTTGATTTATAATTAAATGTTAGAATTACCTGATTTTTTTAAGGGTACTTTAAGTAGTTTGGACTTTTTTCTATCCATTATGTTTTTGCAATTCTAAATGGGCTTATATAATACTGTGTTTTTCATTTATTTTGAAGCCAACACACCTCATAGTTTAGCAGTTATTGTTGTGACTTCAACTATTTACAGTATGAGATCATATACTTTTCATAAATGTCATGTTTCATTCTTGTAGAGGGAGAATGTTCATCAAATTAATTGTCAGCGTTAATTTAGTTCTTTTGATATCTCCTCTTCTACAAGCATGACAGTATTATTATCTCTGCTTTGTTCATATATATTTATGTTTTAAATCAATGTTCATAAGCCGATCTTATGGCTAGGAAGAAAAGCATTCTGTCCTATGACATAATCTGAGTTTAGCATAATACGAGCTGCAAACAGTATTTCAGTCATGTAAATGCATATAGTGCCTTACAGGCTACCTAGAAACAGAAGTAGCAATTCCTAAATTTTACACTCTAGATACCAATAGTGAACATTAACATGGATTCTTAAGGAACAAAAAAGTGTCTGGTAGTCCAGAAATACTTACAAGAGAATAAGTACAGTATGTACTTTATGGGAGTTTCAGTGAGCTTAAATATTTTATATTCAGTATATTGGATTCATAATGCTATGACCCTTTCTTGTCCAAGAAAAACTGTATTGGAAAAAATTGGCATCATAGAGATTAATATCCAGTGGCTTTGGTAGTTGAGAAGCTAGCCATCATATAGGCAAGAACTCTTTAATCTCTTGTTCTTTTATAGGACATTAGCTAGAAGTAGGTCATAATCTGTTTTGAAAAGTCTTGGAAGAAAAAGTAGAATCATAGAATGATTTGGATCGGAAGGGACTTTAGAGATCATCTAGCCCAACCCCCCTGCAGGGAGCAGGGACAGCTTCAACTAGACCAGGTTGCTCAGAGGCCCATCCAACCTGACCTGGAATGTTTCTAGGGATGGGGCCTCCACTACCTCTCTGGGCAACCTGTTCCAGTGCTTCACCACCCTCACTGTAAAAAATTTCTTCCTTATGTCTAGTCTAAATCTATCCTCCTTTAGTTTAAATCCATTATTCCTTGTCCTGTCACAACAGGTCTTGCTAAAAAGATTGTCCCCATCATTCCTATAGGCCCCCCCTTTAATTATGGAAAGGCCACAATAAGGTCTCCCTGGAGCCTTCTCTTCTCC